GAGGGGTGTGCTCTTTACCTGGTGGCCACTTCCCCATCTCCCCCGGGCCCCCCCATTGGCCTCGCGGTCCCCACCCAGCCATAGATGGCTAAGCAGGGAAGCCTTGCTGGGGTGGAATTCTTGTAGGAGTCAGGGACCCCTAACCCAAGCGCAGAGACCTGTCCCCATGGGGAGTCTTCTTGTCCCAGAGACCCCAGGCAGGGCCAGCTCGGCTTGTGTGCAGCCCCTGGGCCTCTAGGAGGATGGTGGTCTCCTCCCGAAGCTTCCGAGGCCCCCAGCTCCACGCCCTCACCTCGGGTCTGCTTTGCACACGTTGTTCAAGTGCTGACTGTGCTAGGTGATGGGGACATGCAGGTGAATCGCTCAGTCCCCAGGGGACAGAATCTTCTGTGTGGCCGGTGCAGTGCAGGGAGGCCCAGAGGACTTTGGGAGCACTGAGGAAGACGCTCCTGGCCTGGGGAAGTCAGAGAAGGTTTCCCGTGGGAGGAAAACCCCATTGTCCTCAGATCCCAGTAGGACGCTCATTCATGTTACTATCCCTGCCTGCCTCACTTTCCTCATCTGTGAAATGCGGACAACGATAGTACCTACATCCTAGGGTTGTTATTCATTTTACACTTGAGCAGTGCCCGGCGCGTGATAGGTGTTACAGAAGTGGGTGAATAAAAGCAGCCGTGTGGACTGAGGAGGGTGACCCGGGAGAAAGGCCTGAGCACGCTGGCATTTTAGAAAGAGAATGCCAGCTGGCCCTGAGTGTTGGGTGGACCCAGCCTTGTGATGAGACCAGTTTAGGTTCCCAGGAGAGGGGTGACGGGGCATGGCCATGGGGTCAGGATTTGGGGCACCTCTGTGAGGTGACCTACGACATATCTGAGCAATTCAGGGAGCTCAGACTTTAAAGGAACAGTGGAATCTTTGGCATCAGCAGGCGGGGGCAAGTGGGGAGAGAGGTGAGGGCAGTGGGTGGGGATAGGCAACCCTGTCACCCCAAGCACAACCTATACACAACCCGTGGCTGGCAGGGTATGTGGACGTGGGGCTGATCCCAGCTGGCGCACGTGAGATCCGCATCCAGGAGGTGGCGGAGGCTGCTAACTTCCTGGCACTGCGGAGCGAGGACCCGAAGAAGTACTTCCTCAACGGCGGCTGGACCATACAGTGGGACGGGGACTACCAGGTGGCAGGGACCACCTTCACATACGCACGCAGGGGCAACTGGGAGAACCTCACATCCCCAGGTCCCACCAACGAGCCTGTCTGGATCCAGGTGCCTGCTTCCCAAGGCCCAGGAGGGGGGAGCAGAGGCGGAGACCCCAGGCCCATGGCAGGGTCTCATCCTGAAGGAGTGAGCCCTGGGGCAGTCACAGAGCCTGGCTCTCAGCCAGGCCCTCCTGCTGCAATCTCTGCCTCAGTTTCCCCATCTTTTAAAATGGCCCCATGGTGTAGCTGCAGTTCAGAGGTGGCTGGGGTCAGCTCCTCTAGGGCTGGGTGGATGGAGAGGACGGCTCGTGCTCACGGGGCCCGCCTGCCCGCCCAGCTGCTGTTCCAGGAGAGCAACCCCGGGGTGCGCTATGAGTACACCGTCCACAGGGAGGCAGATGGCCATGGTGAAGTCCTGCCGCCTGAGTTCTCCTGGCACTACGGACCCTGGACCAAGTGCACAGTCACCTGCGGCACAGGTGAGAAGAGAGGCAGGCAAAGCCCCGCCAGCAGGGGCTTTGGCTCTGGGCAGGGACACTGGCTTCAGCCTCCAGCTCACTGCTGGGCCACCATGGGTCTGGAGGTTTGCTTCTCTGAGCCTCAGTTCCCCATCTGTGAAATGAGGCTGGCAATTGCCCCATGTCCCATGCCCACTGGGAGGTAAATAGATGAGGCAGGTGGGGGCAGCTTTCGGCGAATGCTCAGCGTGCCCCAGCCCTTGGCGTTCTCCCTCCAGGGGGCACAGCTCCCTCTCAATTTTGTCCTGGCTCAGCTCCGGCAGGTCTCGTGCCTGCATTTCTGCTGTGTCCTGGAGACGACCCCCCAACCCCCACAGAGCTTTAGCCGTGGGCCTGTAGGGGCACTGCTCCCCTTCTCCAGCCCCTCTAGTGGTCCAGAGCCTGGGGCTCCCTGGTGGCCGCCCCAGGAGGGGCTTCCCAGACAGGAGGGGGAACAGTGGAAGGTGGCACGGAAGGGGGCAGTGAGGGAAGGGAGGCCAGGGCACAGCCAGGTTTCCCACCCCACTCTGAGGCCAGCCCAGTGGCCCCTCACCACGATGACTTATTTCTTTGAATTCTATAAAAAGTACGTGGTTTCATTAACTCCGACTCTTCCTCCCCATATTTCCCTTAGTGCCCCCCGTGCCCCTCGGTCTCCCTGCCTCTCAGAATCCCCCCACCTCAGGTCTCCCGCCCTGCTCCTTGGTCTTTGCCCCCCCATGACCCTTAGTTCCCCCCATCCCTCAGTCTTCCCCCTTGCCCCTTGATCTCCCCCACATGCTTCTCAATCCCCCCGCG